GACCAGTAGAGAAATGGCCCGAGCTTTACGCAATGCTGCACACTGCTCAAAATGGGGCTGGCTCTAGCTAAAGACATGACCTACCGACTCAGAAACTCAGCATACACAATTACTGCTGTGTTTATGGCATTCAGTTACCCGTGAGGTTTTCCGATAGCAGCCAGCAAGTTCCAATCTCACAAAGGTCTTGCACCATGCCCAGTCATGTAGCCTCAATCACAACTTAAAAAACTATTTTCAAAGCTTTCACAGCACTGCCAGCTTAAGGCTGAAGTAGTGCTTTGAATAGGACCACCCTTTTCCTCCACTCAATGCCTTAAAGAGATCTCCTATGAAAAGCTGCAGTCTCACTTTTGCGTTTTTTCACACTGCACTCGAGCTGTATGGACCAGGTACGTTTGATAAGGCCTCTTCTTGCACCAGGACACCCGAGTAGTTTTTACCTCGCTCTTTAACTGCTGATAGCACTCTGCCACTCCGGTTCCAAGAAGAGTACTGACCGTGGCTTGGGAATATGGTATCAGTGTATATACCAAAGCGTGGCAGCAGCTTTCCCTCCCCTTTCTGGCCAGCTTTCCCTTAGACCTAAGCGCGAAAAAGCAGGGTACTTTTTGAGGACACTTCAGCCGAGACCACAAAGTCACAATGGTCAGAAGAGCCTGTCTCATCCCATGCCCTCCGTTTACCTGCAGAAGCGAAACTCACACAGGCATCCCACCCGCGAGCGAACACAGCCAGAGCCACAGCACACAGCAGAGGTTGTTCGGAGCACACGCAGCATGCAAGAGAGCTATCAGGGGCAACTCTTGATCAAAAGATATAGTCCCAGCAGACTTCTGCAGTGCTGCTCCAGCCCCTTACAGAAATTCTCACTGCCAACATCGGCACTAATTCGGCACCCACGAGCAGGTGCCAGGTGAAGTCTGCTAGTCTAGCCAAGGCAAGACTGCAGAGCTTTTAACGCTGCAAGAGCACACACCACCTAGGCTGGAGGGTCTGTACAGAACAGGAAT